CTTAGCAAAAGAGTCAGTATACCTAGGCGATACAACTCCCCAACACTAGGTGCTACCATAAGTTCCTACTCAAGTGACACTCTAAAGAGAAATAACTTTATCACTTATTTTAATTAATAAGAAATAGTTTTTAAGGTTATAAAATAATCAACAACACAAGAAATTTTGCATGAAAAAATTATGAAGCTTCAATTCTTGTCTCTTTACAAGTTTGAATATCTTACTAATTAGTTTGTCTCAAATACATATATGTAAATTACTCAAGTTTGTAGATTGTCTAATTTTGGGATGATGGAATCTTTATTTTTGTTTTTTTTCTTTTTTTCCATCATCCATGGCGTTTTCTATATCACTCTATATGTAATTTTACAAGAATTTTTTTACATGGAATTTTTCATGGTCATTGTAACCATTGTAGGATTTATATTGTGTAGTAATCGGTACACACTGAAGTCATTCACGAATGGCATGCATCCAATTTTTGAGACGGCCTTTTCTGTTCTAATATGTATGAAAGGTTTGATATGAAAAGAAAAGGCATAGTTGTCTGTCCGTTGTACTGATCTTTCTTAAAATAAACTAATATTTTTAAATGTCACATTTATCGATGATCATTTTAAAGGTACACACCGTGATTTTATATAGTGGACAAAGACATTTGTTTTTTTTTCCCAATCTAAGCGGAACATTTTGGCATCATGCTAGTATTAACTCCTAAAACCTATTATTTTTCAGGTTCGTGGCTTTTTAGTTGTTTAGGAAAAAGCATAGAGCTTTGATCTGCTTGAACTAAATAAATATTTCATTTGACAAAATAGTAGATTTACTTTGGGAACGTGACCTTCCGTTTAAAGGCCAATATAAGCTTGGTTTAAATTTATATCACTTAGCAAAAGAGTCAGTATACCTAGGCGATACAACTCCCCAACACTAGGTGCTACCATAAGTTCCTACTCAAGTGACACTCTAAAGAGAAATAACTTTATCACTTATTTTAATTAATAAGAAATAGTTTTTAAGGTTATAAAATAATCAACAACACAAGAAATTTTGCATGAAAAAATTATGAAGCTTCAATTCTTGTCTCTTTACAAGTTTGAATATCTTACTAATTAGTTTGTCTCAAATACATATATGTAAATTACTCAAGTTTGTAGATTGTCTAATTTTGGGATGATGGAATCTTTATTTTTGTTTTTTTTCTTTTTTTCCATCATCCATGGCGTTTTCTATATCACTCTATATGTAATTTTACAAGAATTTTTTTACATGGAATTTTTCATGGTCATTGTAACCATTGTAGAATTTATATTGTGTAGTAATCGGTACACACTGAAGTCACACTGAAGTCATTCACGAATGGCATGCATCCAATTTTGATTAACTTTATATGTCGTCTTTTCTGTTCTAATGTGTATGAAAGGCTTGATGTGAAAAGAGAAGGCATAGTTGTTTGTACGTTATACTGATCTTTCTTAAAATAAACTAATATTTTTAAATGTCACATTTATCGATGATCATTTTAAAGGTACACACCGTGATTTTATATAGTGGACAAAGACATTTGTTTTTTTACCAAACTTAGCGGAACATTTTGTCCTCATGCTAGTATTAACTCCTAAAATCTATTATTTTTCAGGTTCGTGGCTTTTTAATTGTTTAGAAAAAATCATAGAGCTTTGTTCTGCATGGACTAAATAAATATTTCATTTGACAAAATAGTAGATTTACTTTGGGAACGTGACCTTCCGTTTAAAGGCCAATATAAGCTTGGTTTAAATTTATATCACTTAGCAAAAGAGTCAGTATACCTAGGCGATACAACTCCCCAACACTAGGTGCTACCATAAGTGCCCACTCAAGTGACACTCTAAAGAGAAATAACTTTATCACTTATTTTAATTAATAAGGAATAGTTTTTAAGGTTATAAAATAATCAACTAAACAAGAAATTTTGCATGAAAAAATAATGAAGCTTCAATTCTTGTCTCTTTACAAGTTTGAAAATCTTACCAAGTAGTTTCTCTCAAATACATATATGTAAATTACTCAAGTTTGTAGATTGTCTAATTTTGGGATGATGGAATCTTTATTTTTATTTTTTTTTCTTTTTTGTCATCATCCATGGCGTTTTCTATATCACTATATATGTAACACTTTATTTGTCCATTTGTTCATTTGATTTTACTTGTTTCCAAGAGTGTTCCATTTTTCTTAACTCTTGATACTCTTGTAGCATTATCTAATGTCAAATTAGTATCATTACATAAACAAACTTATATTTTGTATTGTAATTACTATCGTATATATATTGGATAAAGGTAAGAAGATTGTTCATGTCAAAGCGCTTGCTTAGGCATGATGTACTAATAGTGTCTGCTTAAGAGTTTTGTTAGACATTATGGCCCCACTTTGCCTCGCCTGAATGCCTAAACAAACACTTGGTTCACCTTTAACAACATTTTTTTATGGAATCATTTAAGCACTAATACCATCAAATTATACTGTCATTACATCTTACAGCCCTTTTGAAATGTTTTTTTTTTAAATGTCTTTACTAAAGATTTTAATAGGAATCATATTTCCTTTGACAAATCGACAAATCATAAATTTCAATCATCCACATTATTAGTTTTATTCTAATTATTTGAGGTGAACCTCATGACGTGCCAAGTAATACTGCATCCAAGCTGAGTTTTTCTTGATATACCAACTTCAATGTTGTAAATGACAAAAGTCACTCAATTGAATGCACAAACGAAGTTAGGTCTTAACACCGCGTACTTCTCAGCATGCACCGTTACTAATTCTTTGCATTTATATGCCAAGTAGTGATTTATTTGAGTGCCTTGATTGGAGAGGTGAAAACCAATGCCTTAAAGGTTTATGAGAAGAAATAATGTAAGATGATGGTAAAAGAGTATCATGATTTGGAGAAATGAGGATTTGTATCGAGAGACATTTTCATATCAAACACAGTTGCAAGTGCTTCAAGTTCTAGAATAGTGCTTTTTAAGAAGATGAGAATGGTTGATGAAAGGATTTCGAGTCTAGTGATGTAGAAGATAGCATAATGATGATGATAATAACTAGTAATGTAGAATATATTAGCATTAGGCTTTGTATGCTAGCTATACATGCTATAAATGTTTTTTCAAGGATAGGGAATCTGTAAGATTGTCTGTTTTAGAAACAACTGTAATTTGGGAATTGACAAAGATAATCTCCAATTAAAGCTCTGAATACCACTGTACTCCTTGTAACGCTTACTGTTTGCATTTTTTCATAGATATGAACTTTTATATTTTCATCATTGTAAAGGTGCTTTTGATAGTATATGAAACCTTAATTGTTCAGTTTCTTCTCTTTTTTATGCCTGATCAATTGATTGCATGTTACATTAGAGGATCCATGAGAAATCTATGACATTGTGTTTATGTTTCTGCAAGTCCGCATCTTGGTTCACACGAAAGTCATCCAAATTTATTTGATTGCACACAGCTGCAACAAATCATTGAAAAATGCCATGAATGCTTTATTTTTTTCCAGCTATGAATCCTTGATGCGTAAACAAGTCAAAAAGTAGAATAGAAGGAAATTAGCATTTGTAGTGGTTAATTTCTTAGTTTGCCATAAGTAATTCACAAGGCACATGAATCTGTGAAGACTAAACACGGAAATGTTTTATTCATCCAAGATGGTTTTGATTTTACGTATTCACAATAATTAAAACTTAAGTATGCTAATTTAATAGAAGTGGGCTTTAAGAATTTCTGTTGGTCATGCAATACTTAAGTATGCTATGTATGCCTGCATAATCTTCGTTAATTGGTTATTTTAATTTGGATGTTTCAAAATTTCTAAAATTGACAATTTTACTTATGTTTGCTTCAAGTCTTATGAAATTGATTAATGTCTTTTTCTTTTATTATACTTATATTTATACTTGAAGCAATTTAAAGCTTAGAATATCTACAGTAATAATTTCATCAGGATGGCTCTAATTGTGTATAAAAAGCTATTGTCTTCTGTTTGAAAAGTTGTTTTTGAAAGAAATTGTTGAAGTAGTTTCTATTATTTTTAGGCGTTTTATTTATGTGAGATTTTTTATAAATTAAAAAGTGATTTGTTATTTCTTTAAATTTTTGTGTTGCTAGCTTTCATGATCACATGACTTGAATGCTTTGCCTTTATAATATTTTGAGCCTACATCGCTAAGCTAATACCCATCAGAGTGATTTATTTTAAAAAATATGTTAACTTATTCTTAGGATATTGAGAGAATGTTGAACAAAATTAAATGAAAATGAAGAATTTGTATACTCTAGGTTACAATCACAAGGCACACTAGATAATGTGATTAAGTAATATTCACCCATATCCATGGCCACACACAAATCAAATTCTCTACTAAACCTCAGAAGAAGAGGGCATCAATTTTTGTTTTCCATGCATATATAGACAATGATAGAGCTACCACTCTATATGAAATATATTTGAGAGGGAATGCAGACAATGATAGAGCTACCACTCTATATGAAATATATTTGAGAGGGAATCTGTAAAAATGAGGGCTAGATATAGAGAAGAAGATGTTGCTTATGCTATTATCATCTTCCTCTCTTTTCTAAAAGGGATTTTTCCTCTCGCTCTCCTAAATTGCAATTGCTACTCCCTCGTCCCCTTCTCAAATAAGAGTTAAAAGTGTATTTTTATGTAATGGTAGGAAGTGGTGGATAGCAAGCTTGAATTTGTTAAATAGATGATGATAGATATCATTATGCAAATGTTAGGTAAAGGATGGTAAGTCATTAATTTATAAAGAGTTAGGTAGAAAACACTAGGTAAAAAAAAGTACGAATTATGTAGCAAATTATATCATCATTTTTAACAATCTTCTACTTGGAGATAAAATTTTTTATGTACCTCTTTAATGGTTGCTATTTTAACACCTCGGTACAATACCTCCATATCATTATATATGGAGGTTTATTAAGGTTTGGCAATGCTTCAATTTTTTCAGTGGCTTGTACTTCTCTGAGCATAACTATAAAGCGCCGTTTCAGATATGTAAGGAAAAGGAAATAAACAGTCAAAAGAGGAAACGAAGAAACAAAGAAGAGAAAAAGATTAGCCGGGCAATCGAGAAGAAGAGAGAGGAAGAAAGGAGGGGTCGGAAGCTGATGAGGTGACTTCACCATATAAATGAACGCGTGAGACGGGCGCTCTCAGGCGTGCAGTCAAAGAACGGAGGAAGGAAGAAGGGGTGTTGAGAGTTTTTTCTTACCCAAGTATACGACGCCGTGAGAGAATAAGAGGATCACTGCTTTTCAACATGTGAAGGAGGAAGGAGCTGCGAAAAATAGCTCTGTCTTAGCCAGTTAGAATAGAACCCAAGATACTTCCATTGATGCAAAGAGGGGTATAAATATCCATTGAAGAATATACTAGTAAGGAAACAAATAAAAATCAACTAAAGGAATAAAGGAAAGAAAATAAAAGCAAATAAAAGTAATTAATGCATGATTCTATATTAATAAATATTTAATATTCCAATACTACACCACAAGTTGAAGCATGGATGTCATTCATGTTCAACTTTGATTTGAACTCATCAAATAGTGATCAAGAAAGAATTCTTGTGAGAATATCTATCAGTTGGCCACTAGATGACACAAAAGAAACACAAATTTCCTTGGACTCGAGCTTTTCCTTAATGAAGTGATGATCAATCTCAACATGTATGGTGTGATCATGCTGGACAGAGTTATGAGCAATGCTTATGAAAGCCTTGTTATCACATTGCAATTGTAGGAGAGCGGAGACATTCATATGTAGTTCGTGGAGCATGTTGCGTAACCCGAGGATGTCACAAATTTCTAGGGACATGGATCTGCACTGCTCTTAGCAACTACAAACGACTTCTTACTTTTCCACTTGATCAGGTTTCCTCACACAAATGAATAGTACCTCGAGATTGATTGTTGATCATGGACAGACCCGACCCAATCCGTGTCTGTGTAAACTGAAATAAAACGAGAGATGTGGCGGGAAAATAATAAACCTGTGCTTGGTTTCTTTTTTAAACAGCGGAGAATCCGGTGAACAACTTAGAGGTGGTGTTCATAGGGATCATGCATGAATTGACTGACTATCCCAACTGCGAGGGCATATGTCGAGGCGTGTATGAGCAATGTAGATGAGTTTTCTTACAAGATGCTGATAGTGAGTATCGTTTACAGGAATTACATTGGGAATATCAAGAAGTTTTTCATTGGGATCCATCGGGATAACCACTAGTTTGCACAGAAGAAGATTGTTATCCATCAAAAGGTCAATCACATACTTTCGCTGAGACAACAACATCTAGCCTAACAAGTATCGGAGAGATCCTAAGTCCTTCATTTCAAAGAAAGCAGCAAGCATGCCTTTTAGAAACTTCAATGTTGTTAGATGATCATTTGTGAAAAAAAAATCGTCAACATAGGCAAAAAGGATAGCTACCGGGCCGTTGGAGGAATGACGGTAGAACAGAGGTTGGTTTGATTGAGCCTGAGTGAATCCATGACTTACCACCATCTTTGTGAATTTCCTAAATCATGCTCATAGTGATTGCTTCAATCCATAGAGGGATTTTTGCAGTATTCATGCTTGCCCCTCGGAGGTAGTGGAGTCAAAGTCTGGGGGAAGAGCCATGTATATCTCCTCTGTAAGATCGTCATTTAGGAACACATCCTTGACATCAAACTGAAATAAGGGCCAATCCAGATTCACTGTAAGAGATAAAAGGACCTGAATGGTGTTTAATTTGACAATCGAAGCAAATGTCTCCTCACTCCGTAGGTTGGTGAGTTACCACATCTTTTTGCATTAAAAAGATCCATCAGATTTAAACTTGATGCTAAAAATCCATTAGCATCTCACTGCTATTTTGGCCCAAGGAAGATCAACAATGTCTCAAGTATAGTTCCGCTGAAGAGCATTTATCTCCTCGATGAAGACAACTTTCCAGGTTAGGTCTGCTAAGGCAACCTCAATAGATGAAAGTTGATGGTTGCTCAGGGCCGCAGCAAATGCCTTGTAGGTTGGGGATAATCAGCGAAGAGAGACATAGTTTACTATGGGATGGAGAAAACCTGTCTGATGAGTACCTTATTAGAGGATCTGACTTCCTCATTTGGAATAGGAGCAGTGTTGGGGATATCGTCCGGAGGGGATTTAGGGTCCAACGAGGGCTTAGTGACTCCATAGTAGGTGCATTAGAACGAGCACATCGAGTGTAGACACGAAGAGTGAGGCGGTGTGCTGGTGAAACCAATGAGACAAAATACTCGGTGGTGGGAGAAGTGGATGGAACCTCGATGGTAGGTGAAGTGGGGGGATCATCTACATGATTAGGGTAAGGAACAATGTCCAAGAAGTCTAGTTCCCTCTCACTGAGAGCCGAGGTATGAAAGTAGGTCACACTTTAAAAAAAAAGACGACAACACTAACATAAAACTTATTTGTGGTAGGGTCAAAACACCAATACCCATTTTGAGTGGTCGAGTATCCGACAAAAACATATTTTATGGACTTGGATCAAGTTTATTTCAAGTTGGGGCCGTGTTCCGAACAAAGGTTGTGCACTCAAAAATTTTGGGATCTAAAGTGGAGAAGACCTGATCGTTAGGAAAGGAAGATCTTAAGACAGTTAAAAGGGTACAAAAGTTTTGAATTTTTTAGGTAACTTTATTCATTAGATAAATGACAGTAAGAATGCCATAATTCTATAAACATTTTGGGACATTAGAGTGAAACATAATGGAGCGGGTAACATCAAGGGGATGATTTTTTCTCTAGACTACTCCATTTTGTGAGGAGTGTCAGTATATGAGTTATGATGGAGGATGCCTTCACTTACCACGAATTCTTATAATATAGAGTTAAAAAATTCACGACCATTGTCAGTCCGAAGAAGTTGAATAGAAGTTTTGAATTGGGTCAAAATAAAGGTGCGAAAGTTTTTAAAAGTGACTGTAACTTCAGATTTATCTTTTAAAATATGGACTCATGTCATTCGAGTGTGGTAATCAATCAAAGTAAGGAACCACCGTTAATTAGTGTAGTTAGAAGTGCGAGAGGGTCCCCATAAGTCACTGTGAATAAGAGAGAAGCGAAAGATGTGTAATTGTGGGGTGGATAAAAGACACGATGATGTTTGACTAATTGATAAGTTTCATATTTGAAATTCGAAGGATTTTTATCAGTAAACATCAACAAATTTAATTGTTTTAAATACTAAAAATTGGGATTGCCGAAACGACAGTGTAAGAATATAATTGGACAGTCTGTGGACTGAGATAAACTATAACTAATGAGTGGAGTGTCATCATTCTCCGTGCTTTTGTCTTTGAAGAAGTAGAGTCTGCCAACTTGCTTTGCAGTTTCAATTATCTTTCCCGAACAACGATCCTGAAAGACAGACAACAAAGAAAAATGAGCAATGCAATCTGTCATATGTCAGCTTACTGAAAGATAAAATGTTACATTTTAGCAGAGGTGCATGTAACACTGATTCCAAAGTTAGGCTTATTTTTAAAACAATGAACTCTTTACCAGCAATGAAACTTTGAGACCCGTCACCAATTTTAACAGTATTTTTTCCTGAACAAGAATAGTATGTTGAGAAGGTTTGAGAGCTCTTAGTCATGTGGTCCGTGACACCTTAATCAATGATCCATGGACTGCAAGAGGCAAAAGAAATGAGTATCATAGAATTGATACCTTGATGAACGTGAAGGTTGATGGGCCAGAAGAGAGCGAATTGGATCCAAGCATGGTGATTATTTGCTCCATTTGACTCATAAGAGAATTAGACGATTCTGAATTGTTATGGGTAGAGTTTGGTTGTACCATGTTGGATTCACATGCTGTAATGAGACCCTTGGCAGTGGAAGATTTGGTTTAAGGTTTGGATGCAGGTTTCTCTTGGAGTTTCCAACACTTGTCACGAGTGTGGTTGTGCTTGTGGCAATAAGCACACTTGGGGTGACTAGCCCGAGGTTGAAAACTATTAGAAACCAAGGCGGATGCTTCACAAACTAAGTAGAAGCATCAAGGATGACAAGTCTACGACTCTCTTTGCGCTGAATCTCATTGAAAGCGGCACGAGTGGAAGGACAAGGATCCCGACTAATGATACGTCTACAAACTTCATCAAGATCTTTGTTGATGCAGGTTTCTCTTGGAGTTTCCAACACTTGTCACGAGTGTGGTTGTGCTTGTGGCAATAAGCACACTTGGGGTGACTAGCCCGAGGTTGAAAACTATTAGAAACCAAGGCGGATGCTTCACAAACTAAGTAGAAGCATCAAGCATGACAAGTCTACGACTCTCTTTGCGATGAATCTCAATGAAAGCGGCACGAGTGGAAGGACGAGGATCCCGACTAATGATACGTCTGCAAACTTCGTCAAGATCTTTGTTGAGGCTTGTCAGAAATTGGAACATGCTGTTCTTTTCTACAATTTTTTGGAAAAGAGATAGGTCCGCTGGAGATTCCCACGTGTAGTCATAATATATGTCGCATTCCATTCATATTGCTAATAGGTTATTGTAATACTGAGTCACAGTCCTGGATCCTTGTCTTGCGTCACGAATTTTTCGGACACCTCATAGAGTTGGCTGAAATTCTCTGAATCTGAGTAGGTATCACGAACTGCTAACCAATGGCCACTAGCGGAAGGAAGAAACATATATGATTGGCTAATCGAAGTCTCCATGGAGTTGATTAGCCACGACATGACCACAAAATTCTCCACTTCCCAGACTATATGCTGGGTTAGTTTTTGGAGGTTCATGAATCATACTAGTAAGATGACCAAATTTTCTACCTCATTTGATGAACAAAGATACAGATGGGGACCATTGGAGAAAGTTGTTGCCGTTTAGTTTATGAGTTGTGATAAAGAAGTTCGTGTTGTTTTCCCATCCTCCGGTCTGCAGAGGAACGAAGGTTGGAATTGATCCCTCGGTGGAATCAAGAATACCTTCTGATGATGACTTAGTTCTGGAGGAGTCCGTCGTGGTTTCGATTGAGCCAAACGTGATGTTAGGTTGTTGAAGCATCATAAGGTTCTTAATGCTAATGGGAAGGTATATGGCCTCAGGAAGGGGTTTATGCTGGAAGAGATCTTGTGGCCGGTTGGACGAAGGTTCCAACGATCAGATCATGTATGCTAGAAGAAATCTCTTTTGGAGGAGGGAGACTAGTTGGAGAAGCTAACCCCTTGCTGAAGTTGATACCTTGCTGGAAGAAATCTACTGTTGAAATCTGAAGCTAGAAGCTGGTGATGAAACCTTGTTGATTGTGGCCACAAATCTAGCCTTGCTGAAGAAGTCGGAGACGAAATCTTTTGCAGAAACTAAAACCTTGCTGGAGACGGGAACCTCTTTGGAGGCGGGAGACTGGAAGAGCAGATAGGAATTTGGACGGGCGACTCCTTGAACCATAGGATTCTTGCAGTTTGTTGTATCTAACAGAGGATGCCGCTAGGGACCAAACGTCAGGTTGAGGATGCTGCTGGGAACTAGACGTGAACCTGTTGTTTGCTGGACCAGGGATTATGAGAAGGTGGAGGTGCCTGCTGCTGGAACCAACAGAGGAGGTCGAGGGCTGCTGGATCTACGGTTAGGCTCTGATACTATGTTATAACTCAAGAGATTTTTTATTGATGCAAAGAGGGGTATAAATACCTATTACAAGATATACTAGTAAGAAAACAAATAAAAATAAATTAAAGAAATAAAGGAAAGAAAATAAAAACAAATAGAAGTAATTAATACAAGATTTTATATTGATAAATATTCAATATTCTAATAAGTTTACGAAAGAAGAATAAGAGAGGAACGAGCATTGTACTAAAGGAGGAAGGGTCGAGTTTGTGCGTAGGAAGCCGAAGCTAGGTTCTCGATTCAGATCTTTTGTGTGCGGAGGTGTTCGAGGCAAAGTTGTAAGGGTAGAAGAAATTTGTCCAGGTTGGGTCAAGCTTAGGGGAGTTCCCCCGTGCGATTTTGAGAGTAAGAGGTAAGGTAGAGTTAAAGTAATTATTGGATGGTCGACCTTTAAAATGACCAAACCATCTAAGACTAGTCTCTCTAATCTTGTTTGCCACTGGAGTTGCACCAACCCTTTCAATGATACATTTGTTTCATATTTTATGTCTAAGTGTCAAGCCACTCATCCACCTAAGCAATCTTATCTCTTCAACACTTAGTTTTATGCTTCTCTTTTAAAGGCCAACATTATGCTCCATAAAGCATTGCTGGTTTCACCATCTTATACCAATTTTCTTCAAGTCTAAGCAGTATTTTTTTTTCACACAATTGGCCCGATGCTTTCCTCCACTTTAACCATCCAACTTGAATTCTATTAATAACATTCCCATCTATATCACCATCACTTTGAACAGTAAACCCGAGACATCTAAAATGTTGACACCTTTTAATGATTTGATCACCCATTGTTACAACTCCGTCACTAGATTTACTACTACTAGAATTACATTCAATGTATTCAGTTTTAGATCTACTCAAATGAAGACCTTTAGACTCTAATTTAGACCTTTATAATTCAAGTTTTTCCAGAACTCTTTCTTTAGTTTTATTTATTAGAAGTTGCATCCTTTTGTAAAAGTCCAGTAAGAGCATCCAAACTAAAACAAAAAGATATGGGCTTAAAGCTGATCCCTGATGCAGTCCAACTAAAATAGGAAAATGCTTGGTCACTCTTCTTTTTGTTTGAACACAAGTAACAACTCTAGTATACAATTCTCTAATGATTTGAATATATGTCATATCGACACCTTTCATTTCTAGAACTCTCCAAAGAACTTCTCTTGGAACCTTATTATAAGCTTTTTCTAAATCAATAAAAATCATATATGGATCCTCCTTATTCTATATGTACTTCTTCATCAAACATCTCAATAAATGTGTAACTTCCATAATAGACTTGCCCGACATAAATCTAAATTGATTATGAGAAATTTTTGGTTCAAGTATTAACCTATGTTTAATAACTCTCTTTTTTATGTATGACACATTAACTTACTCTCTTCCTTAATTTTAATGTATGACACATTAACTTAGTACTTGTATAATCTGCACGTTGTTGTGCTTTCTCTTTATTCTTAAAAATGTGGACCAAAATACACTTCCTCCACTCATACTTCTTTTTTGTTTTTGAAATAATAGTAAAAAAATTAATAAGCAAAGAAGCTTTTAAGGGTCTGTTTGGGGCAGCTAGAGCTTATTCAGCTTATCCAAATAAGCAGCTTATCCCGATAATCTGTTAATAAGCAGTTTATCAGGAGCTTATCCTAATAAGCTATCTGGCTGTTTGGTTTGTGCGTTCCGAAAACAACTGATTCTAGATAAATGATCATTTCGCCTTTGTTCTGGATAAACTGTTAGCTGCTTGGTTTGGACATTTGAAAAACAATTTATTTACAGGTTTTTGGTAGATAAAAGACCGTTTACACATTATAAAATTTAATTTTGAAAGAATTATTTTTAAATTATGTGTAACATAAATAATAATAAAGTAATTTACATTTTACACTAATTTTAAAATAAATTAAATGAAATTTAAGAAAAAAATAAACTCAAAGAGAAGAAAATATGCAGGAGCTAAAGAAACTGAAGTAAAGAACTTCTTATAACCCTTATTTTATTAGACAATCAACACAAAGTACAGACAAATATATATATATATATATAGATTTGTTGCATGATAAACTTGTAATTTCATAACAGTACATATTTTTTATTCTGACTTCATCTAAACTAGAGTTCAATATACCAAACTAAAACCAAAGTAACATCTCCTGAGAATCGTTGAAACACTCGAACCACAAGTGATTGTCTCCGATTGTGGCACCGTCGAACACTGTGCAATGTTGTCCGATTTGGATAACGTTGAATTTGAAGGGTTGTCTGCTCACCTGAAGAAGCCGTAGTTTTCGGGTTCATGTCTCCACATCGGGCACCTATAGAACTGCCGCCCGTAGCTATGTTGCCGGCGTGACTTTAGTAGCAAGGACGACATTCCGCAGCGGCACATCACTTGTCTGAACTTCCCTGAATACCCGGAGCTCATTGTCCTGCAATTATTAAAAAAGATAATATATCAGTAAAAAAATAGAGCGATTTCCCAACGGCACATCACTATGTCGCATGTCCAACTATTTTATAACATGTGGCTATTTATAGCCGTGGTTGCCCATGAAAACATGGGCCATCCAAGCTGCCCTTAAAATAGAGAAACCCCAAATATTCTCCACCTTACATTTTCAGTAAAATGAATGGTGGGATGGAAGCCTACCTGCAATAGTTAACAAAGCTTTGAAACAAACTATTTTTCATAACAAAAACTGCCTTTAGGAGAAATGAATGTAAAAATAAAAGAAATGAATGTATAAAGAGTGCACAATTCTAGGAAATAATCACAAGAGTGCAACACCTTTCCACCTCAAGTTTCACAAGATGAATCAGACAATCATATAGAAAATCAAGATTAAAATTTATGGCTTCTCATTAATCGAAACCTCACAACAGCCATGTTTTCCACCATTTCTCCTTCAATCCTTCCCTATATCATCCATCTCACTACAACAGCTGAAATTTGGAACAGCTTGGCAAAGCAATTTCAAGCCAACAACAGATCACGTGTAATTCAACTCAAAAATGAATTACATAACATAACTATGAGAACCACCAATGAATCAATTCCTTACTTATATTAAGAACCTGGTAGAACAGATAGCTACTGCCGGCTCCAAAGTAAACAATGAGGAAATAATCATGAGTACCATAACCAGCACCTGCTTGCACAAAACCAATCTTCAATACCAAGCAAATCCCACAAACTCAACTGCTGCTCTCGCCAGTCAACTCTAACCTCAGTCACAACAATGGGTACTCCACACCGGCGCTACGACACATCTAACACCAAATTTGGATAATCTCCACTACCGGCACTGATCAAGTGACTGTTGGCACATTAAACCATTTATAGCTCAAATAGTAATATTAACCATTCAAGAAATTGTAATATTCCAATAATCAATCATGAGCACAGTGCATCTACAGCACAAATAGTCACCAATAAACATATAAAGATTATTAAGTCCGGCACTCCAACTTAAAAGCAATAGGGGAGCATTATCTAAAGAGCATTAATCATAACAATAACAGGTGATTTGTTCTTAATTGAGGCCTTCAAAATATTTAAATTGCATGATTTTGGACTTAAGAAAGAAAAAATTAATTCAAATGCCAACTAATAACTTACCCAACTGATCATGATACTGAAGCAATATGCCTGTGGAAACTGTTTGTTATGTATAACAGCCATTTATATTTAACTATACAGTGCAATTTCTGCAGTTAATTGGATCATCAGTATCTTCCAAATTCTTCAATTTCTTACATGTCCATTACTCTAAGTAGATACACAAGTTTGATGCGACAATGTATAGATAAAAGATTTACATGTGAGGAAGAATGATCATATCCTTTTTCTTAGATTTAAACAGGACTGCCATTGATTGCTGCAAAACAAGAAGACATTTCATAATATGAAATATAAATATGGATAACTATAATAAAATCAAACCTGGGCACTAATCTCATTGGATCCCCTTTGAAGGTTGCAAACAGGATGGTTTGTAAGATACAAGTAGATAAATAAGAAGAAGAGAAGCATCTAAACCGTATAGTAAATGTGGCATTATACAAAAATTTAAGTAACAGATATCATGATATACCACCCAATTCTTATGAAATTACATATCTGACACGAATAGTTTTCATTCTTCATTTATATCCTTCAAATCTTTCGTATCACATAAAAAATGCACTATTTATATATTAAAAGGTGAAATACACCTTCTCAAATAGGGTAGGTGGCCTGAATGACGTATAGGTGTTAACCAAGTGAGTGGTATTTATGTAAATCTTCCTTCATTTTTTCACTCAGTTACCATGGCTTACATTAGAAATTCCAAAAGATGTTTTTTTTGTGGCAAAAGCATTACGTGCAAATAACACTTCAAAGCCAAAACCACATCATAGCAAATGCAAGAAAATGTATATATCACATCAAAAAATTTATGATTAGTGATTGTTGAATACGCATTTGTCCAGGGGTTACACCCAAGGAATACATCATACAACGGGATAAAGAGATAGAGAAAGCTTTAAAACAAATTTCTGCAAACCTGAAGGCTCTACATGTCTTCCTATCACCAATAGCTACAGAATCAACCTGAAGGCTCTACGTAAGAAAAAGTCTGAGGCTACCTTGAAGGAGATCGAAGGGGATGACATTGGCAAGATTCACAATGCATGCAAATCTCTTCTTCCCCTATATGCCGCGCTCGGTAAGGCTGATGACGTAGAAGAATTTGGAAAGTTTGTGAACATAATCCCCGATTAGAGGAATGTTCTGCGGCAATAGAGGCTTGGGGCAAGTTGGGCAAAGTAGAAGATGCTGAGAAAGTTTTTGAGAAGATGATTAGTGAGCATCGTACCGCTTGAAAAACCTTGATCATTTCCGTCAAATGGAAAAAGCCTGGTGACTGCCGCTGCCGCTGTCGACGAAACATCAACCCGAACGAGATCGGGAGATCGACGCGACGTTGAAATATCAACCCGAACTAGATCGGGAAATTGGCAAATCGAAACATTCTCTTACAATGTCGAGATTGGGAGATTGGCGAGGGAGGAGAGGGAGAGGAGAAGGGCACGGGAGTAAAATTTTACCCGAACATAATTGAAGACGTGGAACGCGGAGTCGATCCCGCGTCCGCATCTATTAAGTATCACACAATCATGTTTTGAGATAAGCTATTTAAACGTGTAAAACAAACGGGACGACGACATTTTTAAAACACCACCGCAGCAAATAAGCTGCCCCAAACGCACCCTAAATCTCTTAAATATTTCCACACTTTTATTGGGATACCATTAGGTCCTACTAATTTTCCACGCTTGCTTTTCTTTAAAACCTCTTCAACTTTCTTTTTACTAATGCGACAATAAAAGTAAAAGTTTTATTATTATTATGATATTAAGATCTATAAGGTTGGTCATATTTTCAAAAATTTCATTGAATATATTATCAAAATATCTCACCTATTTATGTTGAATATCTTTCTCTTAAGATATTTTTTTTATTTTCCTTTTTAATACACTTGAATTGAATCTTATCTTTTCTTTTCTTCTTGTTTGACTAGTTTGTACTTATATCTTTCTTTCTTTTTAATATCTAATATATTATAAAAATCATTAAAACCAAAATTCTTAGCACCAAAAATTTTTTTCTTAGACTACATACGGGTCCTTATATTTTTCCCAGTTCTCTAAGATTTTATATTTACATTAATTTTTATAACTAAACTTTTTTTATTTATTTTTTCTTGCACATTATTATTCCACCACCAATAATTTTTATTTATAAAAAAATTTTTCTTTTCATTCTCCCAGTACATATTTTTCCACTTATTTAATAGTACTTATTAATTTGTCCCATATAAAATTAGCTTCTTCATGAACATTCCAAATCTTAAAATCTTGAAGTTTACTCATAAAAATAATTTTAATCATGTTTTTTAAACGCACCCATTCAATTCTATGACAATATTTCATTGTATTTTCTATCTTTAAACTATTCATCTTAAAATCCAGAACTAATAATCAATATTGAGCACTTAAATTTTCACTTGGAATGAAATAATCTTTACATTCTCGATGTTTTTTTTTCCATAAATGGTGAAATTCAGTAATAAAAATAAAATAAAAAACTGCACAACTTGATTTTTTGCATTGTTATGTATGATAGAATGCTTTTTGAAATTTAAACTCTAAAGATTGAGAAAGCAAGAGGTAATTTATGTTGCAAATGCAATTTCTTAAGATTGTGAATTTGTATATAAGGATAACCGGTTAACCAATGCAATGTATGCCGTAAACAAGCTCAAAAGTGAAGCCTTTTAATTGAAGTTCTACTTTTTAAAGGACTTGTGATCTATGCCGTAGTGCAAGCTTTAACTTCTATTACATAAGTCTTGCTACATAGCACCTAAAAGTAAAGAATTTGATTCAATTGAGTTATATTTTTAATGCACTAAGAACAATACAATGCTTAGGTTTTCTTTTTTGTTTAAATATGCAAAGTGCAAAGCAAAATGATCGTTTTCAGCAAATATATTTATATGTTTAATGATAGTAATTTTTTTTTCTATGAAAACTATGTGATGTTATCCTTGAGGGACCTAATAGCCATTTAATTTGTTAAGTTTAGATAGATTAAAAAAAATTAGCAAATATATTTTTATGTTTAATAATGATAATGATTTTTCATGAAAGCTTTGTGATGTTATCCTTGAGGGATCTAATAGCCATTTAATTTGTTAAATTCAGGCCATATTAGATAAAAAGTTTTAGCAAATATATTTATACGTTTAATAATAATAATAATAATTTTTTTCTATGAAACCTTTGTCATGTTATCCTTGGGGGACCATCTTCACTATTAGCAACCGTGTGAGGGAACCTAATTGCAATGTAACACCGGCACTTCTAAAAATGTGTCATGCTTGTGTTAAACATTTATCGGACACCGACACTTATTGGACACGCCCTTACACATCTCCGACACTATAAAATATATATCTGAATCGAACACATCTGGGACACACCTTAGCATGCATCGGACTTGAGCTTAACACTTTCAAGAAAATGGGACACGAAAACTAGAAAGTTATAAATTTACGTATCGTCTTAATTATACCTTGTAGTCATCACCGCCCCATCCTCATCACGTTGAAGCTCTTTCTAACAATTGTCAAAATTGAGCATTGAAGGTACATCCAATATTTGTCGAAGCCGAGCATTAGTAATTTCCTTTTTAGATTTATAAAATTTTTAAGATTTTAGTAGATAAGTTGGTTTAGAATCTGAATGAACTCTTTTGAAACATATTATATCTAATTTTACAAATTAATTTTCATAAACATGATGTTTTATAATATAACTTAAATTTATGAAGTTAAATTTTATTCTTGCAAAATTTGTGTTGTGATATTTTCAATAATGAATAATGGACAAATATATTTTTATATTAATAATTAATTAAATATAAAAATCTGTTCATAATGTGTGGTTTCCTATTTTTTTAATTAAGTCGTGTCTTCGTATCTTGTCGTGTTGTGTCTGTTTCTCCGTATCTGTGTCTACGCTTCCTAGCCTTTGTAATTTAAAATGCTTGGGTAATCCTTTATTAAGTGCTTTTAAAATATGAATCTATGTGAAGTGCATTCCATATCTAAGAGATATGTGTAATTTATGTCTTTTTTAAACATATTAGTGTTACCAAATTTGCACCAAAGTGTGATGAAACTAAATATGGCACTGCATTGTAATAATAGGTGTGTTTTTATCTTTTCTTTTAGCATGTATTATCTTTCATTTATTTTGTAATTATTTGATTTTATTTTTGTCTTGGGGCTATTTTAAGGTCATGTTTGGTATGCTCGGATGTACATAGGGATTTAATGTAAACCCGCCAAACACAATTTCAGCACATTTACCTCCTGCCGTTGGCTAAATCCAAAAATTCATGTGGCGTGACGGTAATCCCGCATTTATTAAATCCAAACTTAAGGTGGATTTAAGAGAATGACTTCCTTCATCTGTTAAATCATAAAAGCAAATGCCAAACATTTTTTATAGATTTAACTGGATTTAACCTAAATAATACCAAACACAAATTTTGATTTAACATCACTAAATTTACTAAACATATGATAAGGTTGACTTTAGTAAATCCTAATCAACTTAAATCCAAGAGGCAACCAAACACCCCCTAAGTGTGACTTCATCTCATATTTCATGTAGTTAATACATATATGTTTTTACTTGGGAGATGACAAGGGTCCACTTCGGTTTACTACAATGCACTATGCTCAATGCTTTCGTTTTTGGAACAAGAAATTTTGCTCGCACTCACAGTAGGTATTATGGTTTTTGATAAATTCTGCCTTATAATGTGTTTTGAATTTTGGAAAGGTCATTAGCTAATTTATTTCAAACATATCAATGGTTGGTAATAGATCCTTATCGTCATATTTTCAAATCTCATTGCTTTTTAAAGGATTGTGGAATGTTACGTATTACCTTACATGAGCATTTTAAAACTCTTTGTTTCTATTGTTGGTTACGTGCTTGCTTTGGTTATTTTTGGATCTAATGAGGGTATTTATAAACAAAAGTTGGCAGTCATTTATCTCTGGCGCATCATGTATGCTGAAGTTGCTGAAGAGAGTCAAACGTAGGACAAGATTTTTAAAAGCGATGAATTTTACATGGGATCCTGCTATTAATGGTGGTGAACTAGTTTGTGTAGTCTGTTCTTTATGCCATAGGATAATATCTAAATGTTGCTTATAGAAATCAGAGTTCTCATTTTAAATATTCAATGCTGTTGAAGATTAAAAGGTAATTTTAGTAGTAGTAGCTATATTGACAGAGTTGTAACTATGAGTGATCAAATTATTAAAAGGTGTGAACGCTTTAGATATCTCTGGTTTATTGTTCAAAGTGATGGTGATATAGATGAGAATGTTATTAATAGAATTCAAGTTGGTTGGTTGAAGTGGAGGAAAAATATTGCTTAGACTGAAAGGAAAAATTTATAAGATGGTGGTGAGACCTGTAATACTCTATGGCACTGAATGTTTTCCTTTAAAAGAAAATGATAAAACTAAGTTAAGTGTTACCGAGATGAGAATGCTTAGGTGGATGAGTGGCTTTACACTTGGGACAAAATGCGGAATGATTATATACGTGATAGGGTTGGTGTAGTTCCAGTAGCGAACAAAATTAGAGAGTCGCCTTAGATGGTTTGGTGACATTAAACTTTGACTATCTGATGATCCGAGTATGAGAGTAGATGTTTTAGATTCAACTTGTGCTAAGAAAGGTAGCGGTAGACCTAGAAAGACTTGGGCATATTGTAAAAAAAATGATCTTAATTTATTAGAATTAAATGAAAATTGACACTCAATTGGTCGCAATGGAGAAAAAGGATCATATAGCTGACCCCACTTAGTGGGATAAAGGCTTGTTGTTGTTGTTGTTGTCATTGTCGAATGTTGTTGAAGATTGTTCTTTTTCTATATATGCTGGAGCCTTCAATTTCCCGCTACTCGATCATGTTATCAAACTGTAACTCTGTTATGTTATACGCCTAACAAGTGAATGGATGGCAAATGCGAGACAGCTTTTAAAGTTGATGAATTTTAGTTGAGATCCTATTAATAACTGTGTTGAATTAATTTGCGTAATCTGTTCTTTTGGGACCTTATGCATCATATGATATCTAATTGGTTGTTATAAAAAGTTGAGTTTTACTTTTAAATGTTCAATGCTTTTGAAGATTGTTTTCCTTCCTTCAGTTCTTTGTGACTCAATCATGTTATATGCCTAATGATGTTAAAGAATGGAACTGAAAGCAAGGTTCCTATGCCCCATTGATTGCTGAAGTACCACCATTGCAAATTTTAAATTTGTCCAGTAGGAGAAAGACTTGCATGGTTACAAAATCTTAATAGATTCGGCTGGTAGTTTATGGTTTAGAAGTATATTTTGGACTTATATCTATACATGTTTAGAAGTGACATTTCTTGCTGATTTTAATATTTTCTTTGTTTTCATTCCTTCAAATTAATGGTCTGTATGAACTTAAGCTTGCTTTCTTTGTTCCTTTGCTAGATAACAGATCATACTTTTCTTTTACAAATTCTACTTTGCAGGCCGTCGTGTTTACTGATATCAGCTTAGAGAAGGCTATTGAGTTTGATGATTATTGTCACAATCACCAACCCTCAATAGCTTTCATTAAATGTGAAATTCGAGGCCTTTTTGGAAATGTATTCTGTGACTTTGGACCAAAATTTACAGTTGTCGATGTTGATGGAGAGGAGCCTCATACAGGCATAATTGCATCGATTAGCAATGACTGCCCTGCATTTGTGTCTTGTGTTGATGATGAGCGGCTGGAATTTCAGGATGGCGATCTTGTTGTATTTTCTGAAGTGCAAGGAATGACCGAGTTGAATGATGGAAAACCTAGGAAAGTTGCAAGTGCTCGACCATATTCTTTTGTCCTTGAAGAAGATACTACAGGGTTTGGCGCATACAGCAGAGGAGGTATTGTGACACAAGTGAAGCAGCCCAAGGTCATACAATTCAAGCCTTTAAGAGACGCGTTAAAAGATCCAGGTGACTTTCTTCTAAGCGATTTCTCCAAATTTGATCGCCCGGCCCTGCTACATGTGGCGTTTCAAGCTTTGGATTCATTTCGACAAGATTTTGGACACTTCCCTATGGTTGGGTCAGAAGAAGATGCTGAGAAACTAATAGATTTAGCTTTCAAAATCAATGAGAACTTGGGTGTTCGTAAACTGGATGATATTGATAGGAAGGTTCTCTATCATTTTTCAAGTGGTTCCAGGTCTGTCTTGAATCCAATGGCAGCAATTTTTGGTGGTATTGTTGGGCAAGAAGTTATGAAAGCTTGCTCTGGAAAGTTCCATCCCCTTTTCCAGGTTAGATTTGCAGCTAGCTATGGTTCTCTTTTTGTTTCCATATCTTGTGTGCTATTAACATGCTTGTTTATGTTTATTTTTATTCTTTTTTGTATGATTTTATTTTTCTGTACAGTTCTTTTATTTTGATTCACTGGAATCACTCCCACCTGAGCCTCTGGAACCTAATGACCTGAAGCCATTGAATTCCCGATATGATGCTCAAATCTCAGTATTTGGAGCCAGGCTTCAAAATAAAATGGAAGAAACTAAAGCATTTATAGTAGGAGCAGGTGCTCTTGGATGTGAATTCTTGAAGAACTTAGCACTAATGGGAGTTTGTTGCAGCCCAAAGGGCAAGCTAACAATCACAGATGATGATGTCATTGAGAAGAGTAATCTTAGTCGGCAGTTTCTATTCCGTGATTGGAATATGGGGCAGGCAAAATCCACTGTAGCGGCAGCAGCTGCTGCTGCCATCAACCCTAGTCTCCATATTGAGGCCCTGCAAAATCGTGCTAGTCCTGAAACAGAAAATGTGTTTGATGATTCTTTCTGGGAGAGCTTGGATGTTGTTATAAATGCTTTGGACAACGTAACTGCAAGGATGTATATGGATGGAAGATGTTTGTATTTCCAAAAGCCATTGCTGGAGTCTGGGACCCTTGGTACCAAATGTAACACCCAAATGGTTGTACCACATCTTACTGAGAATTATGGCGCGTCTAGAGACCCGCCAGAAAGACAGGCACCTATGTGCACAGTTCATTCTTTTCCCCATAACATTGATCATTGTTTGACATGGGCCAGGTCTGAGTTTGAGGGCATGCTCGAGAAAACCCCTAATGAGGCTAACAAATTCTTAACTGCTCCAGGTGAATATGTGGGTGCTATGAAGGCAGCAGGTGATGCCCAGGCTAGGGATCTTCTTGAGCGTGTCATAGAGTGCCTTGACAAGGACAGATGCGATACGTTTGAAGACTGCGTCAGTTGGGCACGACTCAGGTAAGTTTCATAAATTTCATTTCTTATTTACTTGGCATCATATTTCAGTTTTTTTTCGACATAATGGACGAAAATGATCCCCATATAGATGTATTTGAAAGTACTAGTCCAGCAATATAGATGTTTGAACTACTGCTGATTTTATTTTCTGTAATTTCTGGCAAGTTTAATACAGCCAAAAGGGCAGTGGTTATTCCCACTTCATTTGGTTAATTTTGTGGAAAGCGGGCTGTTAATCTTGAGCAAGTTTTTGTTTGATCTATAAGATGTTGACTATTTTGCCAGCCTTATGTCATTTAATCATGGATGGGAAGACAGCTACATCGTGATAAACTATTGCTGAGTTGTAGTGTGTTCAAAGTCATCTTTGAGGCTGTATTTTATGATGTTTTGAAAATATATGTATATTAGAAATTGAGAGTGACCGGAATGCATGCTTTTTAGAAATGCAGAAGTTTAGTTGGATGCAAATCAAATGCATTGAAGTGTTTTTTTGTGTTTCTTAGTATACATTTTAAATGCTCTCTCTTTATCTCTCTTATATTTTATTTGTACCCGAGAGGCAGCTTAGGTGAGGTTGTGTTTAGAAGTAAGGCAGTGTGAGAGAGGAAGCATTGGCAAAGACGGTTTGCAGGGAGGAGGGGGGAAGGCGGTGTGGGGGGAGGGAAGCAGACAGTGAGAGGGAGAGGACTAGTGCACGTCATGACTAAACAAGTGAGGGGGCATGAGGGTAAGCATGCAGTGCAGAGAATGGGCAACACAATTGAGGGCTTGATACCGGAGAAGCGGAGTTGGAGGCGATTCAACAAGAACAACCAAGAAAATAATCCTAGTTAAGAAAAATGAAAAACAGAACAAAGGCGAGATACACTAATCAAATGGAAGATATAAATTGCAAGAATTTTCTACTCTCACAACCGATCGGGTTATATAAATCACTAGTTAAAGGATTTGCAAAATAAGTAGACCCGGGTTGTCACCATAAACAATGGAGGGATACAGTTGCCACCACCCATAGCTGTGGTTAAGCATGCAGTGCAGACAATGGGTAACATATTTGAGGGTCCGATACCGGAGAAGCAGAATTGGAGGAGATTCAACAAGAACAACCAAGAAAGCAATCCTAGTCAAGAAAAAAAAAACAGAGCAAAGGCGAGATACACTAATCAAATAGAAGATATTAAATGCAAAAGTTTTCTGCTCTCACAACCGATCGAGATATATAAATCACTAGTTAAAGGATTTGTGAAGGAAGGAGACTCGGGATGTCACCACAAACAATGGAGGGATACAGTTGCCACCACCCAAAGCTGTGGTTAAAGACTCGTCCTCATCCAGGAGCCTCGAAGGGAGCACAGACCCTCACAAAACTCAAATGATAAAAAGACCTCCAATACAATCAAAGACCACATATTTATAATCAATAAATGGCCTAAACCTAATAAAAACAAACAAATGAAAGTATCATTTTTGCTATTAGGAGTGGGAGACAACTCTAACCCTAGAGAAAGGGCCACCGATCGACCCTTCCCTACTTGGACTGAACAAGTTCAAGGTCCCCTCCTTGCCCTGCATCAATCTACAGAGGTTGATGGAGCTTCGACCTCAAATTTCGTAGCTTCCAACTCATGATTTCAATCTGCCACGTTGAAGGTGGCAAAGTTGCTGTAACGTACCAGGATTGGAGAGTCTTTGACTTGCAACACTTGTCTCTTCCGTGGCATAGTTAAGGTTTAGATTTGGGAGGTGAAAGGGTGTATGAGATATTTAGGGCGCAACAAAAAGTATTTAGGGTTGCTGATGTTGAAATTTAGCTTAGGATTATGTCAAAGTTTCACTATGATTTGGTGGATTTAGGTTTGAGAGGTGAAATAGGGTATATGGGACTGATTTAGGGTGCATAGAAAATATTTAGGGAATTAGGGTTAGGTCAAGATTTGGATATGGTTTGGCGGGTTTAGGTTTGGTAGGATTACAGCGACCTTATGATAAAATTAGGGTTCGACTAGCTCGGATACCAAATGATATTGAAGAAGGGGGTTGGAGAATATTCAACAAAAACTACCAAGAAAGCAATCCTAGTCAAGGAAAAAAAGCCAGAATAAAAGCGAGATGCACTAGTCTAATAAATGATATAAGATATAAGAGTTTTCTACTCTCGCAACTAATCGAAATACAAAAATCACCACTCGAAAGATTGACAAAGGAAGGAGGCCTTGGATGTCACTACCACCAACGAAGAGATACAGTTGCTACTAGCTAATGCTGTGGATACAGTCTCTTTCCCATCTGGGAATCACAATGGGAGCACAAGCCTTTGCAAACCTCAAATGAACCAAATGGTCCTATTATAAGAAATGACCACTTATTTATAATCAACAAATAACGTACACCTATAAAAACAAATAGATGAAAATACCCTTGCTGTTATTAGGAGTGAGCAGGCCCTAGAGAGTGTCAACCGGCCATGCCCCACTTGGACTGAATCACCGAACCAGTCCAAGGTTTCCTCCTTGCCCCGTGTTACGCATTCTTCTGTTTATGTTATGATTAGATCTTTTACATGTTTGAAAAGAGCTCAGTGAATGCTAGTTTTGAACTCACGCAATTCTATCACCTAAGAAATATTTTCTAAAGCCATATTATCTGCTAATTTTGAACTTGTCGTTTCCCAGGTTTGAAGATTACTTTGCCAATCGCATAAAGCAACTAACATTCACGTTTCCTGAGGATGCTGTTACCAGCAGTGGGTCATCATTTTGGTCTGCACCGAAACGTTTTCCCCGACCATTGCAGTTCTCTGCTAGCGATTCAAGTCATGTTGACTTCATCTTGTCTGCTTCTATTTTAAGAGCAGAGACATTTGGAATTCTTTTACCCGATTGGGCTAATAACTCAAAGAAGCTGGTTGATGCGATGGACAAAGTTGTTGTGACTGATTTTGAACCCAAGAAGGGAGTCAAAATTGTTACTGATGAGAAAGCAACTAACTTGTCAACTGCCTCTACAGATGACGCTGCTGTCATTAATGAGCTTGTTGCAAAGCTGGAAGAATGTGCAAAGAGACTACCCCCTGGATACCATTTGAACCCTATACAGTTTGAAAAGGTATGCACTTTAATACCATTTTATATCAATATCTGCTTGTGCACCTCTTTTATGTAATGAAAAGTTTTGTTGAAGACATTTTGGTTTGAAGATAGAGTTTGCTTTCTCTTAAGCAACATTGTTTTGTCTTGGGTTATTACCTTCCAAATTATTTTATAATCATCTGAGTATTCACTTAGTCTGACTGCTTACATTTTTGGTTTTGTTGATCTACATGGGAAGTTAGAAGATTCCATCTTCAAGCACATTAAATCTTGTTTAGCTTGCGATATCTTGGTTTGAAAATGGAATACATCAGTTTTTGCAGCCATTTCTCTATCGCTAATTGTAAATTTATTTTTTTAATTGGAACTTTTAATTCTGTCTGTTGACCATGTTTTAATGGTTTTCATATGTTTATTGTAATTACAGTAAATTCAGTTTATCAATTTCTCCTGAAATCTTGGTTTTCCCAACCATCATCCCCAAAACATATATTACTATATTTTTCCACTATTATCTAATATGCTAGGAAATATACTCAGGATGATGATACAAATTTCCACATGGAGTTCATAGCCGGGCTGGCAAACATGCGGGCAAGAAACTACGGCATTCCAGAAGTTGACAAACTGAAAGCCAAGTTCATCGCCGGGAGGATCATCCCCGCCATCGCCACCTCTACGGCTATGGCGACCGGTTTGGTGTGCCTCGAGCTTTACAAAGTCATTGCTGGTGGGCACAAGCTGGAGAACTATCGCAACACTTTCGCAAATCTTGCCCTTCCGCTCTTCTCCATGGCCGAGCCTGTGGCGCCAAAGGTAATCAAGCATCAGGATTTGAGCTGGACGGTGTGGGATCGCTGGATCATCAAAGGTAACATCACCCTTCGTGAGCTTCTTCAGTGGCTCAAGAACAGGGGACTCAATGCCTACAGTATATCACATGGAACTTCCCTGCTGTACAACAGCATGTTCCTGAGGCACAAGGATAGGCTGGACAGGAAAATTGTGGAGCTTGCGCAGGATGTGTCTAAGTTGGAGGTCCCATCATATAGGCGACATCTGGATGTTGTTGTTGCTTGTGAGGATGATGAAGATAATGATGTTGATATCCCACTGATATCCATTTACTTCAGCTAATCATCTTTTATTTTATTTTATTTTTTTGTTGAGTTAGATGCTTTTTTGCTATATAGAGTAAACATTAAGGTCTTAGATGCCTCTTATGCTCGTCATTTGTGTTATTTGACAGCTTGAAGTTCTGTCTCTTTTTTAAAATGAAGTTGAGTCTTGTTTGCCCTGCTTTAAAGATGCTGTAACTGTAGCTTTATAATCTTCTTAGCAATTATATAGAATATACGTGCTGCGGCTGTATAGAGTATGTTATTTGTTTAGGTGTTAGATATATAAATATATAAGAATTGTGTGCTATGTATGTAAATGCCCTTTTTTTAAAAAAAAAATTATAGGATTATAGCGAGCTATTTAGATTGAAAAATTAGAACTAATTTGATATATTTGATCTGCTTATTTCCATGTAAATATGGTTAATGGCTTATATATTAATATAGGAATAAGAAACAAATTTGAGCAGGAAAGCCTAAAGTTTGCATCAGATAATTTGACAGATAGTTTGATTCAGGATAAAGCTTAATGTGGCAAAATATTATCATGGATGGTTATATTTTGGCTTTGAATTATATGACCCGTGTGAATATGGTTTTAAGATATCATTTATCACAATAAATTATGTAGTCTAATCTTGAAATCAAAATTGAACAACTGTGAATTATCTTTATTTTTTCAAAGATTAAGGCTCCGTTTGGGGCAGCTTGTTTGGTGCGGTTGCATTTTGAAAACTCGGCCGTGTCGTTTGTTTGGTGTGTTCGTTTAGCTTATTCAAATAAGTGGTTTGGGATATTAATAAACGCAGCCATGGGATCGACCTTGTGACCCGCATTCTTTCCTCCACTTATCACCCGCATGCCCTTAGTTCCTCCTCGCTCGACCCCCGAATGTCTTTTCCGCCCTGTGTGATACCTCTCTCGTCTCTCTCCCTCGATTGCTCCTCTCTTGCAATTAGCGTTGCCTTTCACTTCTTCTTTCTCCGATCCTTGGTTATTGTGCTCTGTATGTACTTTTCGATAGAATCATCTGCCAAACATACTTTGTTTCAAATAAAGGAAAAAAATAAAAAATAAAAATTAAATAAAATATAGAAAATAAAAAATAAAAATGATTCCAAACAGCCCCTTACACACATCAATTTCAAATGTCATTATTTTTTAGTTATAACTTATTGTGGCGAGTAGACTGTTAATTATTTATTCGATTTTAGTCAAATTTATGAGTTGTATAAATAATTTTATGAAGCTCAACAATAATCACTACTTAATGTATTGGATGCTTTTAATGGTAGATGAGTAGTGGCTATGCCCTGTGTATTTATTCAATGCCTTCAATTTTGGGCAATTATTGAGCAACTACAGAGCTTCACAACTAATTAGTAGTCATACTGTTACACTTGATTTTGGCCTTGCTAAGTAAATGTGGATAATTATGAAATATGCCTTAAATTTTATTTTCCCTACTATGCATGAATTGTAAAAACATTGAAAGATATAAATATGCAAATATCAACTTAATTAATACCTTAATTAATGTTAATTCATTAAGGTATTAATTAATCCCACATTTATCACTATTCCTACTCTCTTTTCCGCAACATGCAGCCGTGGGATGGATCAAATGGTTGAGATCAAATGGGATCACGTTAAAATGCCGCAATCCTCACGCCCCACTCACAAATTCTCTCTCGCGCAAAAGCTTTAGAGAACCCTCTTTTATGATATTTTGGACATTCATTTCCTTCCCCTTGTGTTTTGATATTTATCACAAATTCAAGCATTCCACGTGTTTCCTATTGTTGTAGCTTTGCGGGACCATCCACAAGATTATTTTTGTAGATAACAACGCTAAATTCAAGGGAAAGCTAAAAACAATCCAAAGAACGCGTCGGAAAAAGTTTATGTACGTAATCTCTAAAGCCCAATATATCTTCAACCTGAAAAACAAATAAACAAAACAAGAGATACATACAAAATGACTAACAAAAATAAAGAAAAATAATAAATAAATAATTTGGAAACAAAAGATTTTGAAGACATAGGCATAGAGATCATAACTTACTTGCATATATATTAAATGTTCTTATAGATTTTAATGGATAATAATATTAAAAATAACGATTGAAATTTAATAGATTGTTGGAAATCATCATAGCTTGACCAACTTGAACTTATGGGATAAAATCAAATATAAATATGATCTGAATTTGTAGAATAAACTAACAACCCAATTAGTTACAAAAATAATCTTGAAAAAGGCTCAAAGAAATAACTAATAAATAAAATTAAAAAGTAGCCAGGAAAGAGCTCAGAAAACAACCTAATAAACAGAGAAAGACACGGCCAAACAAAAATGGAGCAAAGCAAAATAGCAGATAGTAAGAAAATTACAAATCAGCTTCTGCAAAAATTCCAGAAAAAGGCTCCTCCAAACTAGCCAAATACAAAATAAGGAAAACTCAGAGAAAAAAATATGCTAACAGAGAAGTAGATGTAGATCACAACCAACTTAAATCAGAAGAAATACAGAAAAGGAAACATAAACTAATTATAAAGACTTAATAAAGGAAGGAAATTCGTATTTGAACTTTCAATTTTTGTGTTTCTTCTTAATTTTTCAATGAACTCTTATAGCAATGATTTCATGAGAAGTAGTAGAATTATTAAAAATTCAATTCTTTCTTTCAAACCAAATTCCATAAGCTATACACTGAATAACTAATTACAGATAGAATCTCTTATGATTATTAAAACTGATATTCTTAGCATGATATAGATTTTGAAAGAAATTACTGGCAACAATACAAATTCCCCCACTTGGAATGCATTTCAATTACATCACATTCACATTCACATCCACCATGACATGAAATGTTTGGATAGGCTTTTGGTTTAGCGGGATTTTTGGATGGGTTGTGAAAGGGTTGGTTTTGGGTTTGGGTGATGGGCTTGGATTTCGGTACGAGAGTGGCTCATGAGTGGGGTAGTGTAATTTATGAGTGTGGGGGTGACGTGAATGTGAATGTGATGTAATTGTGTGTATTATTTGATGGTAAATTTGGTGGATTAGGGTGATAGCGGGTTTTGGTAGAGGGGTGTATGAGTGTGGGTGAATTATGGTGATGGTGTTTGTGATGTGTGGCTTGTGTGTAAATTGTGTAAAGGGCATGTGATGTGGTGTATGTGGATTGCATTGGTACGTATGGGGTGTGGGTATGACATGTACATATGGGCAAGTGGTTATGATGTGTCTATTCATATGCATGTTTGTATGATCGTGGCATGATTTATTATGACAACAAACCATCTATTCTTTAGATGTGTGTGACCCGATGCTTGTCACAATACTTGAACAAACATTGCTTAGTGAGTATAACTCAACAGGTAATGTGAGTTATCGCGTCATGTGTAGCGTGTGGGTGACTGTGCTAAGGTTCTATGAAGTCTAATGCATGCCACTTAGGTATTAATTTATTAAGATTATTTTAAAATTAAAAAATTCATTTTTATTAGGTATGCTTTATGTTTTAAATCATATTTCAAAAAATTAATTGCAGAATTAAATAGAACCTAAGCAAGGTCACCCTTTTTAAAAATTCTTTCTAAAACTAGCATTATAGTGGCATATTTTAGAATCCTTAAATCTTTAGGATGGGGTTGGAGTCGGCGACCCCATCAAAGTCATGCAAACCTCTTATCCCCACTTTGTACGTACTTAGATGTTGTGTTAAGGACCACCTTGCTCTTAGATGATGTGGTAGGCTAAGGTCAGGGTGTTAGATAGTATTTTCGATGAATGACTATTATTCTTTGTTGTTTGTTGCCCTAACCAGACATTTTTTTATGTGTTGTTTTGTGCGTTTACTAGGGTGCAGACGTGCGCACTAGTATATTAGGTTGATTTTCTGTGCAGGGAGCCATGTTTGCTGAGGGAAGGGATCTCATGATTGAACTAACCCTTTTCTGCAGGGCTGTTGAATTCCCCTACCCACAGAATATGGTTCATTATGCATTGCATGTCATAACCCGTACTAACACTTTGGATGCAGATTGATGTTTCTTTTTTTTGGATTTCTCTATGCAATTCTTAGACCCCTTACGAGTGTCTATAATCGAAATAAGATACAAGAACGAGTTTTGAGACGCTTGAAGCGTGGAACCACGTGGCGAGAACCAGGAATCTGTAGCCAAAATAAGATATGTTCTATCTCGTGTACCGTATATTAATTTAGCACTCTGATATTGATGTATCACATTAGAACTAGGCATGTATTATGCTGTGTCTGGTCGCACTTTTAGCTTTTTGAGATATGTCGCTGACTCAGCTGCACCTAGCTTGTCTTATTCTTTCATTTGTCTTGCTTTGCTTTTCCTGCT